ACTGGCAAATTTGCTTTAAAAAAGTACTAAAACTCCATAGATACAGTTGTTGATTTTTAACTGCTAAAAGGACCTAGAAGCTTTTCAGAGACAACTGCATGAAAATAGGTACTAAGTTACTTCTGAAGAAACAGAATGCCAACACAACAGCAAAAGCCCCAAAGGTCTGGAATACAAAACAAAAAGCTGAAGTCTCCCACTAGAGACTAAGCTCAGGCAATCCAGGGAGCACTACATCCAACACAGAAATCTCATTAGGACTGCAGTATGAAGTTTTCCAAGGTAGACACTGAAATGTTTTGGATGTACTTTTCAAAAGCACAGTAACACAACAAACACATTCCCTTCTCTCTATCTCTCTATGTATGTATTTAAAATCTGGATGAACTCTTACCTGAATACTCTTCCATAGTTGCCATGGACTTTATAGACACCATACAGCCGGTCTGCTACCCTCTGAAACATTTTAGAGTTACCTTTTGGTCATCAAGTGCAGTTACTTTGTGAAAACCTATCTATAAACTTCAAGCTACAGCCTTAATGTTTTACACAGGTAAACAAGATTAAGCCTAAATCTAATCTAATCCACTACTGAAGGAAAAATCAACAGCACTAAGTCTTTGAAGACTGAAGTCACAATAAAGGCTATACTGGAAAACTAGTGCTTCATGTATTGCTTTGGAATCACTTATTTACAGGATATGCCTATGGAGACCACAAATAAATTACCTTCAGTTTTTGATAACCAGATGTAAGGCATCCTTTAACAAAAAAAACCCAGATTTATATACACAATTGCTTATTTAACATAAAGACGGCAAGACAAAAGTCTATCCTGACATCAAGATCATACGTAAATCTTCCGTAAAATTCTAAGTGACTTGATTTTTCCAACCCAGCTCAGTGAAACGAAGGAAAAGAAATGAGCTATCCATTCCAGAACTTACTGCTCTAGCTAGATATGTCTTTGGGAGAGTCAGTACCTGTTGCAGCCAGCATTAAAGCCATTCCTCAGAAGGAAAAGACCACATGTACACCCTGAAGTGTGAATTGTAGTCTACATAATGCCCTTGTAATTGTGATGTACCAATGAATGAGACTGAAGTCCTGTAAGAGTTACTGAATTGCTCTGTCATACCAGTAAAAAGAAAATATAAGCAAATTGCCCATCAGATCTCACACATGTAGCCCTGATGAAAAAAAGGCGACAGTTCTACTGACAGTGTAGAACACCAGCAATTAATCCTCTCAAGGACCTCAGTTCAACAGGGCAATCCATTGCTATCCTTTCTGCCACACAGTTTCCATTAAAAGTTAAATCTCTGTTGAAGATACTAAAAAGCAGTATCATGCTCATTGTTGGAATTGCAATTTCCTATTTCCTTTCTGTGACTTGAGGAGAAAAAGCCGAACAAAAAAAAAAGCTTCCATTCTCAACCCACAGAGTACCTTGATGCATGACAGAATAGTTCTCATCATTAGAAAGAACATTATTCATTACAGATTGAAGAACAAGCCAAAAAAAAGAAAGAAAGTGTTCTGTGAAGCATACAGGACTCATACTACAAGCTCTGGAAAACAAGGTATTATATGTCTGACCAGAAAACCATGTTTTGGGGCCCTTCCCAGCCCAGACATCCAGCAAAAGCAACTTGTCTTCTGAATAGAGAGAAGCAGACACCTCAATTTCCTTTAAAACCATCTATCCATCTGATACATGGCCATCACAGGAAGGGCAGATTAGCAACATGGATGTGTTTACTCCTCCAGTGACTGTCAAACTCAACCATCATATTTGGAACTCCTTTCCCTCAAATCTGTACAAAGCCACCACCCCTTTGCCACCTCCTGCTCCACACTCCAGAGCCGGACTCCCTCGGGCGAAACTGCCCTTATTCTAGAACACATACTCCTGTTCTCCCGACTAAACAAGAAATAGTGCCTTATAAATAAATTATACTATTTGTCACGACACACATGGGAAATACTTACAGCTCTGACTCGCAGAAGGTGTGATATGACAGACTGCAGTTCATCGCTATAGTGTTTTAGCTCAGTAAATCTCCTGGGAGCAGGAAACAGATAGTACATCATTAGCCATCATGAAAGCAAGCTTTCACAGAATGCAAGATAGAGCCACAACACTACAGCCAGCAAGACAGAGCCTGGATTATGTTGAAGTGAAATTAGCTGAAGACTCCTAAAAGACGTGACTGCAGAGTTTAATTTCCCTAAAGCGAACCATCCAACACTGGCATGACTGCTATTTTCTTTATATGCAATCAGTGAAGGTTCAGAGCAATTCAAGAGATAAAATTTTATGAAATAAACTGAAATTACTACATCTATATTATTGGGGTGGGGCTTTTTCTTCTATTTAAACAGGATTTATAAAAGCAAGCATTAGTTAATAGGAGAGTTTCAAATAAGTACAAAGCCAAAAATCTGCTGAAGCATACTTCTTAATAATAACTTGTTCACACTCCTGACCTGACAAAGACACTTGACTTTCAAGCTGCCATCTAGCCAGTTATAAGTATAGCTTTTCAAAAGCCCAAGGAAACATTCACAATTACCACAGTTCCTCTAAGGCTAATCCATTCAGTAACTCTAAGCAGTTATAGATGAAACCCTATTAAGACTTGTACCTGCACAGGAGTCACACACAGCTAAAAGCCATCAAATCACTACAGTCTTAAGGGTACCAGTCAGATAACCCACTGCACGTGATCATATACACACTGCTGTGCTGGTCTGCCACTACTGAAGGAAAGAACCACCTCAGTTAGGCCCTGGTGGTAGTTTAAGTTGATACATTTAGCTTATGCTAATGACAAAGATGAATTAGTTGCCACAGCTCTTCTTGTGACTGGTAACCAATTAATCCACAGCAACAGCCACTTCTGTATATGTAAACCCTCCCTACTACACACAAGTCTAACTCATGACCTACTTTGGTATCCAAAAATGCGTTTCACCCAAATGGGAAGCCAAGAACAGCTTTACCTAAATTACTAAACAATGATCTGAAAATAAACAAACACACAAGAAAACAACCAGAATCAAGGAATGAGAGATGAAGATTAGCTTTCCAGGTTGATATTTAAGCCCCAAAAGCTACATCCCTCTTTCCACTGCAGGCATACAGTCAGGCTTTGTATTTCAGAATAGCTTGTACCCAAGAAGTCTTACTGAAGTTAAGTCAGGTCACTTGTTTTGGGTGACACAGTATGAAATTCAGGGGTTTTTCATTTAACACCTCTCCTTCCCCTGTAAGAAAGTCTACAATATTCTCATCCTTAAATTCAGGAAGCAAAAGCTTTATTGCCATTTCTAGTATTTTTGCTCTCAAAGAAGCATCGTTATAAGATCATGACACACACAGGGTTAAAGTACGTAAAAAGATTTAAAAGCCAGCAGAGAAACTATATGGGAAAAATAAATGTAGTCATTGATCTGCACAGTGGGGTTTAGAGAGCAATCTCTTCAGTTTACACTTTATAAAATATGCACCAGGGCTGTGTGTCAGACAGCTGCAGACACGTACAGTGAAGATACTTGAAATAATTGAACTGAAAACAAAAGATTAAAAAGCATGCCTTCAGCTCCGGAAGACTCCCTTTTCCACTCCAGAAATTTATAATGAAAAGTTTTATTTATCCTGTTTTGTGGCAAGAAAGCTTTAAGGAATGCTCTACTCCCTGAAGACCGGAGTCAGGAACCTAAGAGGACTTTTAGTACCCTGGACTCTGGCAGCAATACAGCTTCTCCCGTGCCAGTTCCCCCTCCATTAAAAGATAAAATAATAATAATTAAAAAATTACCACTGCAGAATCAAGCTGCCTTCTTTTTACTGTCTCAGAAAAGCATAAACCAAAACAATGTTACTTTTGCCCAATCTTCTGTGAAGGCTGAAAATTTTACAAACATAATTTTTCAGGAAAAACTGTTTTTAAGAGACTGGTAGTGTGGCAGATCAAAAGTTTAATTCTCAAGTAGGTGCTCAAGTCCTACCTCCTGTGGGTTTTTTTGTAAAAAAAAACCAAAAAAAAACAAAAAACCAACAACAAAAATAAAACCAACCAAACCACCACCCCCCCCCCCCAAGAAAAAAAAACACAAACAAAATAAAAACAAACTAAAAAAATCCCAAAACATTATAAAGTCATTTCCAAACTGAGTTTGGTGCAGCACACAAAGGGACATTTACCTTCCAGTGCATAACAGTAGAAGTGTGAAAAAAGACACAGTTTTGACACTCAGTAACTGAGGCTTTTTTAACTAGCACTCTTCATTGGTTTTACTGGTTCTGCAACATTACCAACAGTCAAGACATTCAACTGAGCTATTAAGTAGAGCTTCAGACACAAATGAAAAACAGATCAGGTCACATTTCTGTAGGAACACACCAGGTTTCTTCTCAAAAATATCTTTCTTGGTAATGGCAAAGAAGATAATTTCATTTACAGCAGACAGCATTTGAATAAAAGTTACTTTATGCATTTTGCTCAGCAGTACTAGTACACCTCCTTACATCAGGGAGGGCAATGCCATTTTCCTGTTTTGTGAAGGAAGACATTATAAGAACAGAACTGTTCACTACAGAACAAGGCACTTGTCTGAGTAACCAGAGAGAAAAAAAGAAGAGCTACTTAAAAAAAAAAAAAATAATCTCCCTTAGGAAAGGATTTAGTGCCCTCTAAAGAAATCTTTCACCAAGAAGAAACCTATTGTTTTGATTAAAGCACGTAAAGAGAACAAGACGGTGGGTGCCATGAAGCCAAATCATAGAGTTCTGCAGTAAATACAAATTTATCTCTGAATACCAGAATACCATATTTTTATCACCAATAAAATGTCACAATTGAAGATATTAATTGCTCCCCACAGGAAGAGGTTTAGTTTCCAGTCTACATTTGACCTCATAGAGCAGCATTGTTTCAGCTGCTTAAGCTCCTCATGCTGCCCTAGGCTGAACGATGTGGCTCCACAGCACTGTGAGGCAATCCAGACTGGGAGTTGCAGCTATTCTTCACCTGAACCCTTCATGGTCCAGGATCCTGAAAGCCTATGCTCCACACAGCAGTCAGACCTCGTTTCAGCAAGGTGAGCTTGATAAACCCATTTTAGCACCTAGTCACACAAGCACCAAAGATAACACAGGAGGGCAAGGTGACAGATTCCAGGCAGCTCAAGCATCAGCGTACTAAGCAGAGCAAGGCACTATTCCTCCCTCCTGTTAGAGCTGCACACTGTATACTAAAAAGCTCTCTCTGAATTAAACCAAACCAAAACAAAACAAAACCCCCACAGAAGTTATGCTCTCAGTTATTTATTAAACAACTTGTATCCAAAAGTTCAATTTGGAAGCTACGCAGCTGGCACAATACAATAGAAAGCGTGTGCCATATCTCTTCAGTGCTGTAAGAGGTCTCTGCTGAGAGACAGACACTCTGGGACTGTTTCTGTTACAAGCCCTTTCTCATGTTTTCCTTGTATTAACTCTTTTCCTGCTTTTTACCAAGTTGCTTCTTACAATAGCTTTCCTTTCCTGAAACATTAAGTTACCTCAAAATGTAACAGTATATTCCTCATCTCAGCCTTAACCAGTCTTGTCCCCTCATGCCTACATTCAGCCTAGTGGCAAAGTTTCCCTGCCATGAAAACAGGAAAAGCTAGCTCCCACTATCCACAGATGGAAATGACTGAGGATGAAGCATTCAAACAAGGGTCCAATTTTACCTGCAGATAATGAATCATTGTCATTTGATCTCATATGTAAATGTTGTCTTTTATATTAAATGCTAGCTAAAAGCTTCCTTGCTGCCACAGAAGGCTGTACAAACAAGCACAATAAAATGGAAGGACTGGACCAAGTCACAGGTAAATCTATAGAAAGGTTCAGAAAGGCATGTACCCTCTCACATCCTTCATACAATACCCATAGATGCTAGGGAAGTACAAAGTGAACAGACAAAGCAGTCAGGCACATGCATCTATTGCCACTGTTGGATCGCAGATGGACCCAGCAAAGCAGTTTGTATAGGTCTCCACTGCTTACAGATGCAAAGATGGTGCAAAGAGCAACATCTCTTGACCCTACTGCTGCGTACTTTCTAAGTATTGCAGAAATAGAAACTTTTGCTTTACCCTTCCCACATCACCTAGGGTGTGATCAACCTCCCACTACATATCCTGACATTTCTGACCAGTATTTTCATCCAGCAGATTGCTCTAGTGCCTGTCCCAGAGCTTCCTAAACTGCAACAGAGCTGAACTGACCTCGGGACTTCCAAAAGCATCTGTGAAAATTGGCAGCTTGAAGAAAACTATGAACTGTAACACCAGGGTGCATGCATCCAGAATTGTACACTAGCAGATTTTTGGAAAGACCTACTATCTGTGTTCTGTTCATGCTTGGAAAGATCTCTTTGCAAACAAATATTAAGAGGTTCTTTTTCTGGGCCTGGGTTGTTGGGGATTTTTATCCCTTTCTTTTAATCTAACTAAAATGAAAGACTCATTTTGCATAAAGCGATGGCATTTTTCTGAGTATTTCCTGCTCTTAGAAACAGGATTTATCAAACCTTTTCACACTACCTCCTTACTGGGCTTCTGTTAAGATTTGAAGTGCTGAAAGATTTCTTTTCTGAATGTATACTAAGGAGGTATTCTGTCATCTGAAGTTACAGTTGTAACTGGAAAAGGGAAAGTGAGGGAAGAAGGATGTGGAATCTTACTTGTCTGGGTTTTTCACTCTGAATGTTGCATTAAGAGCTTTTAATCTGGAATCTGCCTGAAAAAAGGGGAAAAAAAGCTTTGTTAATTTAATGCAATTAAATTCCAGTGACAAAAAAAATCTCAGCCTTCTGGCAGCACCAATAGAAAAAAAATCCTGCTTTCTTCACATATTTAAATCTTCAAACATGGAACAAGTTAACACTAACTACCCTGCATGTCAGATCCTTTATTAAAAAGTCAGAAAAAATAAGCTATTTTTGTAAACTAGGATGTAACTGGTATCCACTAAAATTAAGCTGGTAAAATCCAAATCCCACAAAAAGAGCCCCTTCTTAAAACGTTACACAAATCACGGAGTTAAGATACACAACCCTACATTCTTTTTAGATGAAGCAATTAGGTAACATAAGACCATATGGACAAACTATTTTATATTTTTCAAACCAAATAAAACCGGTGGTAGAGTGACCTCTATACGCTCTTTATTACTAGGAACAGTTCCCCAGTGAAATCAAAATCTTATATATGGTGTTCTCTTGTTTTATGACTTGCTTTACAAAAAATATGCAATTTGTATATCAGAATAGAGCTATTTTAATGCAGTGTTCTCTTCTGTAAGACAACATGTATAAATCTCTACAGAAATACCTAATTAAAAAGGTAATTGGCTACCTTACTTTTTCAGATGTTAGTTTACTAATGACTGCAGTATGGAACCTCTCTAAGCAGGTCGGTTTCACTGAAATTTAAGTTGTGAAGTGGTTATTTACTCTTAATAAGACACCAACACAGGTGAGATACCCCAGCCTCATCTGCAGAGGTCCCACATCACCACTTTTCATTTCCATGTGGCATTTCATAGACAGCTCACTCAGGGTTCATCTGTACTGCATGAAAATCTCCAACTCCAGGAAATGGCTTTTGATCAAAACATCTCTCTTCTCAGTGAAACAAAAACAAAGAAACACACCTTGTGAGGTATATAGATTTCCAACAGTGTACTCTTTTAGCTAACACTGTGCCACAACTGCTAGCAGTAACTTACTTCAGCAGTATGTGTTAGGACTGGTATATGACACAGGAATATTTTGTGCAACGTTAGAGCCAACTCGGAGCTTGAAGAGCTATTCTGAATTTGACAGTGAAGGGAACATGGTGTTTTCCCAAAGAAGAAAGTCCTTTCCTTAGGGCTTATGATACGTATTTTAGAGCTTCCTTACAGTAACTTCTACAGATGAGACAGGCATGGTTTGAGACTGTTTCACCTCCTACTGCATTGGGGCTGAGCAGAAGACACCCATATCTGAATATTACTGCAAGTTGCTTTCATCTGGAACCACCTCCATACCTGGAGGACATTCAGGAGAGCATCCAAGCTGATGGAAAAGCAGCTTCTTTCTTGCAACTAGGATGAGAGGTACTGACGGAAACCTTGCTAACTGTAGCTGTCCTCCTTTCAATTATGAAACCACCAATACAAAACAATGTACAAACTGAAATGTAAGTGAACGAAACCTGCAAGACTAAGACTGACTGATATGAGAAGAAACAGGTTCACTGTCACCACTATGTGCAGTTCTCCTCCAAGAATATCTTACAAAAGGAAGATAAAGGCATCATGGCGAAGCATGCCCAAGACAGCACAAGGAACATAAAACACTGCAGTAACTCCAAGTCCTAGCCTTTATGTTTATTCAGAATGCTCCACAGGATTGTATGGGCTTGGATCCCCACTGCTGTATCCCAACGAGCTATTACATAAGCCAGATTTCAGATCGTTCAGACACATCTCCGTGTACTCTCACACATTCTCTCCCAGTACAACCATCACCTAAGTACACTGATGTTAAATCAGTCCTTCTCTCTAATTAACTATTTCTCAAAATACCATATTTATGTTCAAATAGCAGGCACCAAAGCCATTTCAGTTTGTTGGAACAGCACACACATTCAACAAGTTTACACTTGGTCACTTCCAACAGTACAGTTACAAGGCAAGTTTTTGCCTTTCCCTTATCCCAGTCACAGCCCACAGGCCTTCTTCAGTCCCTGCTCTCCTGTCCTTCAGCTCACTCAGGACAAGCCCTGAACTTCTCAAGAACCTTATCGTGGTGACATACAATGCAGGCTGCCAGGGCAACAATGGCAGGGAGTAGAGACCAGGACCTGATTTCCCCCCAGTAAACTGGGAACCCTTCTATTCACTGTAGTTTTGGAAAGTGTTAAAAGCAAGGGCAAAAGGCAACCCTGCATATAGGGACACAGACACATGTAGTTACAGACACATGTAGTGTTCTGAATAAGAGCTCAATAAGTATACAAGCACTGTCAGGCAGAAACCAAGGTCCTGCCAACGCTCAACCCTGTAAGTAGGGTTATTTCCTTCTTCCTGTTACTAGCACGGTAACTCCCACACACCACTTTTGAGATTTGACCTGCACAGAGTTATGCTTTTAGAAAAAAGCCTGTCCAATCTTGAACTTAATTTAAGACTAAAGCACATGAGCATTTGAGAGATGAACTCCCCATCAAATGAGGTACTGTCAAGGAGTTTTCAGACAGCTAATTCCTACTATGATCCCACAATCATTTAAGAAAACTAAAGAGAGGGGAACTTTCTCCTTCCTAAAGGAAGGGTTGAAATCCCAAGTGACAAATCCCTTAAAGAATAAAATTAATTGCTGGAGGTGGGAGGGAGGAAAGGCATGATTTACTGACACAGTTGGCAGTGTAAACAAAGTCTCTGACATCAATATTCAACTATAACATGCCACATTGCATTAATGCCTAATTTAAAGTTTAGTAGCCTGGTTCAAATCCTTTGGGACAAAAGACACATCCTGCTTTAATGCACCAGCAACAGAGACAGCAGCAGCATGTAAACCAGCGATCTGATTCTAGGCTACGACATGTAGTAAAGAGAGGTTTGTCCTTCAGTGCAGCGCTAAATAACATCTAATCTTGAGGGGTTTATACTTCAGATGTTGAGTTAAGGAAAGATACTTTTTCCCAGGTTTTTGCAAAAAGATATCTTCCTTTTCTAAGGAAACAGGAACTGCAAAGTGGAAACTATACACGCAATCAAATCTAGAAAGAAAACAGCACGTGCTCATCTCTCAATATGCAACACACTTTCATGTATGGAAATATTCTCAGCATTCTGCTATGAGTTCTCTTTCATATACACACCAGAGTGTGCACTCCTGAACGTGCTGCCAGTAAAAACTTTCTGAACTCCTATGAGCATAAGCTGAAATAAAGATGTGTTGACTAGGAAAACACAACTTGAGAGCTTGAAATTTTTTCCATTATCAATATTACCAATATGCAAGCCTTGCCATGACTGAAGAGAATTACTGTCAACTTAAGTTATTAACATTAAGTGTCAGTATCAAAGCCCCTTGGGACACTGAAGAGCACTAGTGATTTTCTTTAGCTCTCACTATTCAGAATAATTCTTCATAATCCACCTAGTGTTCAGTTATGATTTCATGAGAGTTGATCACATTACAATGAAACAAAAGCTCAGTATTTGTCCCCATACAGTAACTTTTCCAGACACAGCCATGCAATCTATCAACTTCTCACAGGTTCTTATCCTGCACAGACACACAACCTTTGATCATTTATTCCTGCAAGCTTTCCACCCACCACTTTACCTAGCCATGAACTCACTGATGTCAATGGGGATAGTACTACTTCAAGACACGTTCTGTTAAACAGTTAAGGGGCACCAAATCCATCTCTCCTAGTCCTTTTCAGCAACTTATCCTTGTAGAGAAGTCCTAAAATTCAGACCCCTTTGCTTACCCTATTTTTTTTTTTTTTTTGACACCTTGCAACTTTGACCAGGTTAAATCTGACACCCATGCTAAACTGATCTGATATCATACAAAAAGACTGCTATGGGCTCAAGTTCATTAGTTTTAAAGCTTTTGAGGATCATAACTCTACATAACTAGCAGAATTAAAAGGTTGAGCATCACAGGCACATATTAACAAGCCTTCAAGAGAAGGCTAAGAACATGCTAACACCACCACTGTTTTTTGTAGTTACATAAAACAATGCCTTTAATTCATTGTAACAGCAAACAGCCTTTCATAAATAACCTAAAACAGGTTTGCTGGAGTATTCTTGTACCATAGCAGTCACGAGACAATTAATTACCTTTAGCTGAAATCCAGTCTCATTCACCATTTCTTTCCATCCACCTTCCTAAAAAATACACGAGAAGAATGTTTAGTGAGATTAAAAAGTGCCACAGCTTTTGAAAGTCCCTATATCAGAAGATCTTCTCCAGCAAGCTGTTTCAGCTACCTTCCCCATGTCTTTTAAAGAATCTGGGTTAAGAATAACATGTCAGTAGACTTCTATGCTTACATACTAACCTCCCCCAAGAAACTCTCTGCTCTTCACTACTCAGTTACCTCATTCTACCAACCAGGGGCAGGAACCACCCAGCTTTGACAAAAGAAGTAGCTCAGGTCTTTAGAAAAAAGGTAGCTATCATCTACTGCCTGTTAGGTCATGAGCAGCTTCAATGACCTTTGCAGCTTGAAGCAGAGAGTATAAAAAGAATGCAGAGGTGACAACTGTTTACAGTGCACATTCAGTCACCTTGCTCAAGTGTAGTGGCTGGTTGTCCATTGCTTTCAGTTCCCATACACTGGTTCATCTATATACTATACTGTGCTGTGGTAAACGTACCTGCTCAGTCTGCTGTTTGGTAATCTCTCATCAAAGCACAGAAAAAAAGAGAAATATCCAACTCCTCCTAAACTTGGAAAACTACA